AACATTCAACAAAACATACATTCAAATTTTTCTTGCTGATCAGAAATCAAAATTCTTTGCTGCCTAATTATGTCAAAGAAAATATTTTTTTACGAGGCTATGCATATTTATTTTATCCGTGAACTCTTCTGTGCTGAACTCCCCAGGAGTGAGAAGAGAGAATTTTGTTCCCGTGACCTTGGCCATAATTTTGTTAACTACATAACGACCAAGAGGAACAGTTTCCTTCAGACCATGAATTATATCAGTAAGAAGATACATATCACATATGAGAGTCAACATACTGACATAAACATACTTTTATTTTTATTGCAGTCTAACTATTCACATAGGGATTGCATCAATTTAACTATTTAAATAGTAAAAATCATTAATCTGGCTAAAATACTTACTATGAAAGTTCTTCATACACAAGGCCCATTATAAAGATCACATCTTTTGCTAGCACCCTCCTTTGAGTATTTGATGGATTTGCTATGCAGTTGGCATATTCAAATGGTTATATTCTGGCTTTAGAATAATGTATATGATTTACACTCTTTTTCTGTTTGGTATAATCTGGTTTACAGCTGTAAAACAAAGTCATAAAGTTTTAAAACCAGATACAGTCTCACAGGTCTAAGTAACAAGCTAAAGACAGCTGCACTTAACGCAGTCTAGTTTTATGTTACAAAGATCTTGCTACTCAGTGTGTATATTTAATACATTTATTCATCTTTGCAAGTGCCCAAAGGCTCCACTAAGTAACTGGGGGGAGGGGAGGGGAAAGATACACAGCTTTGCAACACATACAGAATTCTTTCATGTCCATCAATTTTCTTGAAACATACTATTCTGTTTCTTTATAAATACTGATACCAAGATGTTGTAAAAAAAACCAAAACAACGAACAAAAAAAACCAAACAACACCAAACAAAAATAAGCCAACAAAAATCTGATATAGTTATGAGATGGCAAATAGACTTTTACTCTTGTACAGAAGACTCAAATGACTTAACAGGTTTGAATCAACTTCAAATTGTTGGACAGTGTTTATGGACTCAGTCATTGAATCTCATCACTGAATTCTTCAGATGACTTCAGGAAGTGATCAGCAAGAACTTAAGATTCTTAAGCAGTGCTTTTCCCATCTCATAAAGACGGATGAAATGTTCAAAGGTTTTCCATTTCAAAGCAAACTAAATCAAGAATATGCCAAGCTTTTGTATTTATACATCTTCCCCAAAAAGGAATTAGACTAATGAATGTCAACAGCCAAGACTTAAACCTGACTGTCCATATTAGACATTAAGTACTGTAATTTTTAACACATTGTTCACCCATATGAAAACTTCCCTCTTGTCTCAAGGCAGTTTATGGCACTTTAAAAGTTCTTGGTGGAACAGCTTTAAGAAAATCTAAGTATACAATATAAGAAAGATACGTAGTCTGCCTATTTTTTTCATTCCTTCAATGATTTGCTAGGTATAACTTCCCTTTACTAAGCCACACTGATCTTTTCAGTACAACCAGTTTTAATTTTTTAACTGTGCATACAATTACAAATAGCTGATATATATGTAATTCCAAAATTCCTTTCAAAAGATCTGCTACTTTGTCTTTTACTCATGCCAAAGAAAGTCTAAAAGAAAAGACTGCAGACTACAGATTTTTCAAAGATGAAATTCTTTAGAACTCAAGTTAATGCCATCTGGTCCAGGCAATTAACTTTTTCTATTAATACCTAAACTTGACTTTCCCCTGTTTCAGTACTGAAACAACCCTGAGCTCTTCATTAGTAAATACACATGCAAAAGCATAACTTTCTGGCAAGACCTTAGTTGGGTTCATGTCATTTTGCACCTTGATCACCCTGATGACTGTCCATTTACAGTGGCTTTGTAGCTCTCTGAAATTTTCCCTTATTGATATTTTGAAAGAAGTATTGAAAATAATTATGCAAACTCTTTGAAAAATGTTTACCTCTCTTTGCTAATGTCCTGGTTATATCCTTTAGTGCTATTCTTTAGATGGCATTCCAGTTCCTTGAAGCAAAACTTCCTTCTGTAGACCTCCTTATGAAAGTCATGGTAGATTTCTTCACACACACACACACACACACACACACACACACACACACACACTCACTTCCTAGTCTTCTTTGGTACATTGTAATGCAATTATGCTACATTTATCAACATAGTATTTTAAATACCCTACTTACCTCTTGAAAACTTTCTGCCTATTGACTGCCCCTCAACTCTCTTTTTAGCAGGATTTCCCGTTTGTACATAGTTTCCTTTCCTAAAGCTATATATGTGCGGGTGTTTAAAAAAAAAATGTTTCTGTAGGAAGGTTAAATACGAATATGCTATTACTAATGTAAAAAGTAGCTAATTTTGAAGCATTTCTTGGGCAATGATCAACTAAGCCAAGACTGTATCTCCTACGGGTTACCAATCTATGCCATGTGAAGTAGTTACTTATGAAATCTGGAAATTTAATCTGTGCACTGCACCTCCCGTGACATTTCTTGTCTTACCTAATTGAACCTTTTTATTGAGATTCTTTCTCATGGGGTGCGTTCCCCTAACACACTGAACTCGCTACTGCTGTCCTGTTTCACAGCTGTATTACAGACAAATACTGGTTTTCCTGATATGTTAAAGTCTATGTTACCTACTAACATGCTTACATACCTGATTTTTCTTAGTTTTTGTTTGTATTCAACTTTCCATCAATATTCAGTGTTTCCCTTACCTTAGTACTGTAATGTTTCAGTATGTATATTTCTAGCATGCTAGTTTCTAGCATATGTATTACGTTCAGAAGCTGATGTAAATTTAGGTTTTCCAATAGATTCTCTTAGACTCATTTGTTGAAATGTACACATTTGCTTCAAAGAGTGCAGCAACCTTAGTGATGTGCTCTTACATGTACAACAACTTTTCCTCACTCTTCTGTCTATATTTAATTTTAATGCTACTCAATTTAACTTTGATTATTCCTCCTATGTCTACTCCTTTATTTCAAAAAGTTCTCTGTTTCATAAAGAAGCTAATTCATTTTCCACAGAACATATAAATTTCCTCAGCTGTATCTTCAAATGCTGCTTCTCCATCTTTCAGTCTGGCTTCAAAAACTGGGAGGCCATTCCTAACTTGATGTTTACATTTCAACTCCAGCAACTCTTCTACCATTTCCTGTGTTACTGGCACAAATACAAACACAGGTCATTCACTGGTATGTCTGTTCCAACAAGAACAGACTAGGAATATCTACATACATTTCAGTAAAATGTTATTTTGATAACTAACCTGCCAAATACTATCACCACTTAGTGTGAATACTGAAGTATTTTTATATTATTAGAGTTATTTTAATCACTGGCATGCACTGTGTGTTTATATATTTTCCAAATATTGGCAAATCAGTTAAAATAATATAATGCCACTGGGAAAAACATAATTTGCAAAATAAATCTAAGCAATTGATACCAGATGTTCTATTTCTTCAAAATTTGCATTTTCAGTTTTATAATATTTACATTTTTCTTCTGGAAAAATGCTTAAGTAATCATACCTCAAAAGGACAGATTTTTTTAGTTCTTCTGGCTTTGGCAGTATGCCAGTGTAATTCAAAGACAAAACTCAGGTCATATTTACGAAGTCAGTCACACTTACTGGTTTCATGTCCTACCATACAAATACAGTATCTTTAATTTTAGCCATATTTAGTTTTATTTGTGGATCTTCTAGAAGCAGAGATAAACAGTGTATTTTAATGATAGTATTCTGCTAAATCTGAAGCGAAATGGAATCCAGGAACTGATAAGAATCTTTTCCTAGACAGAAGAAAACCTGAATATTCCAGTCATGGTTGTTGGCTGTTTCTTGTTCATCTAGTTTCACCTGAAGGACATAAGTTGTTTCAACTAAAGAACTAAAGATTTTAATCTAAAATTAAAACTTTTTGATAGCCCTAGATCAGAATTCATCTGATCAAAAATTTATTTGTACTTGTATGCAGACATGCGTGAGAGAGCTTGTTCTAAGTTGCAATAATTTTCTTTACAAAAGAAGAGCAAATGCTTTCTGAGGTCACAAAATGTTTATGGGTCACTGGAATTCCACAGTATGACCTCTCAAACAGTTTAATATTTTTTTATTATATTTATATTAATTCTTTGTGTGATACAGATTAATCATTTATAGAAAAGGAAAAGCATTTTGTTTAGGTTCAAATGTTTACCTCCACATTCATTCAGAAAACCTTAGAAGACTACATGTTCTTATTTCTTGTTTCTTTTTTATTCCAAGAGTACATTCAGTCTATTTTTTAATTTACTTTAGGTTTAGAGTGAGCAATAAACTTAGCTGTAGGCAAAGAAACACAACACAGCATGAGTTGGCAAGGCCTTGAGAAACACCATATACCCAGTTCTGCCCCCCCAGTTAGCAAAAACCAGTCAATACGAAGTTCGGGCAATGAAATCCCAGTGCTAAGAGGTAGTCTCTGCTTATCTCCAGATTTTTAACTCACTTTAGGAAATAACATTTCTTCAGCATTTTACTTATTCTTTAGCAAGATTCCCTAAATGTTCTTGGTTTACTATCTCAGATAAAATGAGAGTACTTACACTGAGGCCGCACAGTAGTTTCTGAGGTCTGAGCTCACATCTTGCACAAATTTTACTGACACCATGAAGTCACTGGACTGATGGCGTCCTCAGACATCAGTTATTAACAACTATATATTCATTGACAGCAAGTGAATAGGAAAATAAAGCTACACTTAGATAATCAGAAGAAGAAATGGTAGAATACTTGAAACATACAGAGTTCTTTATTACTGTTTCTACCAGTTGTGTAATGTTGAGTCATAAAAAAAAACAAAAACATCTAAACCAGATTTAAAGCTTTTATTCAGTGCTGAATCCCTTCCTCTGTTTAAATAACAAAAAGGATTCATATCTTTTTTTTTCCCCCAAGGTGACCACTGATCCAATGAAGGTGGACAACAGGAAAAGCAAGATTATTTATTACAGTCAAAATATTAATTAATGTTTTCCTTGATGTAAAGCAATACAGAAATGGTGGTACTGCCTTCATCTTTTCCTAACATCAAGCATACAATTTTTACAAAGGGGCTTTATAACCTCCTGAGCAAGGTTATTATGTATCTTTTTCTCACATCAGAACAGATGTGAGAACAATGACCACTGTCAATTACAAAAAATGAAGGATACAGGAGAAAAAAAAATACAAAAATAAAATGGGTTAACTGACTTTGAAGGGGGTCTTTTCCTTTGGGATGTCCATGAAATGATTTTCAGAGGCTTTCTGGTTGCAATACATTTTTTATAGTTTACTTAGAAGAACTGAAAAAAGTCTTACTTTCCATTAATTCTGTGGACTGCCTCTGCGTCTTCTCCATGCTCTTTGTGGTCCTGGCTGTGCTAAAAGTTATCTTCTCGCTATGTTTGCTTGCAGACATTATTCCTGTTACTCCATTTTCTCCCACAGGTATTTCTTATTGAAAGTAACATTTAACTCCTGCACGCCTGGGTTCCTCTGATCCAGTACATTACAGCCAGAATAATGCAAACAAGAAAACTTTCTGTTTGCTGCTGAGATATATTGATTGTTTTTTTTTTAATATCCACATATCAGCAATTATTAACCACTATGACATTCAAAAGCTAGTTTTCCTCGAATATTATTTAATCTCTTTTCTACTGATGCAAAAGAAATCTCAAAGAGGGAACCTTGGAAGAAGTCAGAAATCATACTGTCCTCTTCACGGTACTGTTCAGCAGAGACTCCATTAGAAATTCTCTTGTCGTGGTTTCTTCCACTTCACAAGGAAGGATGAAAGAGAAACCCATAAAGCTATCCTACAGTGAAGATGAAGGGAAATAAATAGTCATATGGACATCACAATTTGAAATATTTCTTTTACTAAAAGAATCAAATGCAAATACCTTCCCAGATCACTCCTCAGTCACGTACTATGGATTTTAATACATTTCACCCATCAAGCCATATAGCTATATTGGTTCAATATCTTAAAATATTACTTGGGAGAGGAATTGCTGAATGACTGCATTCACTGATTATCTTCAGCTTCTTTAGTACAGTCGGCACAAGCTCTCTCCAATATCTTCAGTTTACATCACACTAATCAAGATGCAATAGAAAGAAAAACAAGCATTCGAGACCTGCTTCTGAAACCTGCAGGCCCAGTTGAGACACAGAATGTCTATCCTCACTAAGTAAACTATTATTCATAACACCTGCCTATGTAGTGCAATGTGAGTTCCTGTCACTCATCATTGACATGTCTCTATACTAGGACTGGTATCCTAACACTGCATTATTACGTTTCATGAGAATACTCTTAATTCCTTTTGTATCACTATGCATGCTGATTATACAGTATCCTTTGACAATGGCAACATGTTCTAGTGTGATATATTAATTCAAGAGGAAAAAAAAGATATGCAAAGGCACTGTTAAAAGCACCATATATCTGGCAAAAATTGATTAAAAGCACGGAATTATTTTTCCAATAAAATTATTCTCCCAGTATGACAATAGGTTTTTTACCATTGATCTCAGTGGTGTCAAGACGCCCAGATTTTGGGTTATTAATTAATAGCAAGGTATAACACTAGCTATATTATTCTGTGTCAAGTCAAATTTTTAGAGGCTTTCTATTTCCCTTTAATTCCTATAGAACACTTCTTGACTTATTAGTAAAATAACTTCTCTATAACTCAGTTACTATGATTAAGGGTACATTATCAGATCACACTAGACAAATACTTCTGACAGTATTTTCAAGCAGCAAGTGACCATAATCATATATACTTGACATGCATAATTATAGCACATTATTTTTCAGCTAAGAATGAGTAGGTGGGACTCTCACAGTATGTCTTCTCATCATATTTTCTACAATAGATTACTACTTTTGTCTTTTTTAATATTTGACTTCTCTGCCCTTCACTAATGTCCTCAATGATTTCCTCCATCACACATTTTACTACTGCACCCTACCCTAACTAATTATTAACTTTAAATTCTCCATTGACCCTAACTTAACTCTCTGTAGATACAAAAGCTTTGGAAAAAAAAAAATCCTCAGTGAGAAAGTGTTTGCCAGATAGCTTTTCTTCAAGCTTTTTCAGCTTTAAATATGATCACAGAAAACACTGAACCAAATACTGCATTGAACAGCACTATATATAGTTGTATTATAATAGCAGTGTCACTTTTCCAAGTGCTGTTGGACTCCAACAAAACCACAAAATTTATCTCCAAGGGTGGAGATTTTGGTACCTGCAGTTTCACTCTCAGCAATGAGACTTTGCAAGTAGTTAATCATCTGATGCACACCTCCTGGGATCAGGCACTGAGTCTACTGTAAATTCAGTTCTTCTTTCACTTGCCAAAAAAATCCTCCTCCTACAACATATGTGTAAGCAGAGAATACAGAAAGAAAATTGTTTTATTTCAAAACTTCAGTGAGCAGATTTCTAGTTTTATTTAGTTATCATTACAAAAAAGAAAAAAAAAAGAATTCCCTTTGGCTCAGAGCTGTATGTGAGGCCCCTGAGTGGAGAACAGATGAGCTAGACATGCTATGGATAAAAATTGTAACACAGACAAGAAAGAGACATCATACTCTTTCTTTCTCACATTATGACTTAGCTGAAAAAAAAACCCTTAACATCAATATTAAGAAGTATTCTTTATTCTGCATTTTACATGTTTTTAACCACTGTATTCAATGCAAACAGCTTAACTCCTGTGAAGAACTTGACCAGGGAGAATCAATGCATTTAATTGTACTAATCTCTCAGCAGAGCTAGTTTCAAACCTGCTGGACTGCTTAACAGCTGTGGTGTTCTATGCGCTGAATTCCCATCACTAAATACACACTTGAACACCAATTGCAAGGGGTATAAGTGAAGAACAGTAAGTCAACAGATCTTAAGTGATATCAGCAATTCCAAATTTATTTTGCAATTAAATCAAAATCAAAGTAATACTCAAAGACACTGAAAACATCTTTTTTTGGCTCCAGTTCTGTGTACCTTAAATGACCTTTACTTCAATGCACACAATACTCACCACTAATAGACTTACTTTTTTTTTTTCCTTAATAAATGAGCAGTATTCATTGATTTTGAGCAAAAATACAAGCCCTGTTCCATCTAGGAAAAATCTCTTAGTCAAAGACATTTAGTTTTAAAGCTATGACGTCTTTAAATATTGTGCTGGATTACTGTAGTCTGGTTTTCAGTGACAAGAATCCAAAAAGCCTGGTGGTAGACTGCAACTTGTCTATTAATCAGTTTAGTCTATATTCAAAAGCCCATTTTAGAGGGTTTCATGGCTTAAAGCAGACATTTAAAAAGAATTACGTTTCTTTAATGTAGCATTGAGAATATTAAAGTGACAATAAGAAAAAGGGACAATGCCAGGTAGTGACAGAGACACAGGTCTGTGTTTAATAGAGACTAAATAGTAACAAAAAACCTCCTTCTATGTTCCTGCTAGCTTAAATAAAACCCAACCAGAATAAACAATGAAACAAAAAGGAATAGCTGTCACATCAGGGCAGAAAAAAAGTAACACCACTGTAACTAAAAGCCAACTAGCAGTGCCACACTGCCCTTGTAAAGAGATAAACAAGTAGCATCCACTTTTAGTATCACATAGGCTCTGCTTTGGAGTCCACGAGTCAGTTATCAGTGCTTTCCTCAGGACATGAGAGAAAATTAAAACATGGTTATTTCAGCAGCACAAAGAAAGTTTTGTGTACATCAAGCAAGACTTTATCTCTGAGCTGGGTCTCACACAGTAACAGACTATCTAGACCAGACGAATTACTATTGAAAATATTTGTACTATATAAAGGATTCAATCTAGATTGCTTTCAGCAAATGTTTTGCTTTCACTGAATGTACAGCACTTGATATACACATTACAGTTGTAATATTATTAGTGATGTATTTTTCTTTACTTTAACCATCCTTTATAAATTTTAACACAAACAAGTACTTATATTGGGTTTGTTTGGTTGGTTTTTTTTTAATAATATATGCCCACAAGAAGCTACTTTTCAGAACATCTTTGCTATCCTTTCTGCAATGCTATAAATTATACACATTTACTATAATCTTGCTTGATTTACAATCTCTGTCACTCCTTAATTTAACCTATTGTACAAAAAAAAAAAAAGCTAAAATTAGAGATACACGATATGATATTTTAAAGACCTCAGAATCAATAAAAAGCCAAACCAAACCAAAACCTAACAAAAAAACCCAGCTATTAAGTCTACATAAAATAACTTACATGTAAAGTTAGCGTTCCAACTCACACCTAAGGGAAAGACAAGTGTTTTGCTCCCAGTTTGGTCACTGGGCACTGTCATATCTTGTGTAGTATCTGATTACTTCAGAAATGACATTTTCATGTCATGAAGTCTAATTCATAGGCAGTTTCAAGTGCTATTTTTAGAGATAACATCCAAGACTAATGAATGCAATACACTAGGAAGTTAATATGACTAAGATGTAAACATGAAGTTAAATCACGCTGTCTTTGTCTACCTATCTGTTCAAGTCATTCTTTTCTTGACAATACTACACAGTATGAGTAATATTCTTCAACTGAAAGTTTATAACCTTTTTCTTTGTCTGGTGTGCTTTCACTTAAAACACTATTTACCACTGACTCAAATACAAAGAGTTCTCCAGTGAAGGGTATTTGTGTATTGTCATTGTGAACCTTAAGACCTGTGTGTGTATGTACCATTGTGCCGCTGCTACAACTGGTATCAGATCAGTCATATTTACTGTGACTTCAGAGTGAAACTTTCAGTTCTTTTGAAGGACAATATCAGGCAGAATAAAGAAAAATACTACTCTGGGCTCATTTCCATCTTTCGCCTTTCATAGTTTTCTGTGAGATTTCACCTTTTCTCACATTCCATCAGAAACTTCTGTTATGTTTTTGTTTTTACCTTTGGTACTGAAAATGCTTCAATCAAACAGAATACAATTATTGTTTTACTACAGGCCCCTTCTCTGCAATAAAAACAAAAAGCAAAGTAGCTCTGCCTCATTTACCCCCACTCAGATTTGTGGACTTCTTATCTCAGAAAAACTGAGGTTGCGGGTCTTTAATGCTTTCTTTACCATTTATCTTGAGAGCCTTGCTGACTGCATGTGTAAGGAGTGTTAGGTTTTTGTACAACTTGCTGTAAAGATTTCTTACACAAACTGCAAAACATTTAATAAAAGCTGTTAAGCTGTTGATTTTTCAGACGTTAAGAAAAAAACATTTTCAGTACTCTGAAAAATTAAATTTATAGCAAACAATAACTTTCCCACAGGTAATCTTCTAATACATCTTGCACCAGTGTTTCCTACTGTACTATGGCTTAACAAGCCATCCCTCTTGAAATTGTCTTACATTTGCATACAAGAATGACAGGTATAAGCAGATAAACTTTTCAGTGAACGTTTGGTTAAATTTAAGCACATTAACTTTTGTTTAGTAAAGAATCAGTGAACATAATCATACTATGGAGTCAGGAAACAACGAATAAACTGATAGTTGTGGGATGTTTTGGGGTTTTTTGCCTAAATATTTCTAGACATTTCAAGTACATTAATATTTGTAAGAGCCTTGAATGTGAACCTTAGAATCTAACAGCTCTGATCATTTTGGTAAGGTCAACAAAATGGAGACTTTTTTTTTTTTGGCCCAACATTTGGAGTTTTCTCATCCCTTATCATCACATGAAACAGACATTCTGATGCCTTCCATTAACTGATTCAGTGCTAAAAGATATTTGCTCAATCAATGTGTCATCTTTTCAGAAGTGGGTGCATACAAGATGACTAACTTCACAGAGGTATCTCTCACACAGACCCATAAAACAAACTGCATCAGCAATGAGACACCAGTAGTATTCCTCCACTTCCTTCATTACCACTTTTGTTCAAACGTGTTATATCTGTATGGTATTTCCATTTCAGCTATACAAAACAAGTGGTTAAAATGAAAAGCAGGCTTTCACCTCACTTAAAGATGCATATAGAACAAGAAGGGGCATCCCAATGGCTCAGCTGGAGTGCTGAAGAGCAATTTCTGTATGGAAATACAAGATACTGATGTTAGTAAAGTTCAAAAGCCAAACAATTCCTTAGCTATTTAATAATTTCTCACAGACTTCATTAGAAACTGCATTGGAATAAAAGGACTATTGAAATGCGACACACAAAACTGTTCTTAGAAGTACCAAACACACATTCATAACAGGTTACATGACAAATGATTCAGTAGGATGTTAGAAAAACAGAACATAGAATAGAGTCATAGAATCATAGAATAGTTAGGGTTGGAAAGGACCTTAAGATCATCAAGTTCTAGCCCCCCTGCCATGGGCAGGGATACTTCACACTAAACCATCTCACCCAAGGCTCGATCCAACCTGGCTTTAAACACCATCAGGGATGGAGCATTCACAACCTCCCTGGGCAACCCATTCCAGTGCCTCACCACCCTCACAGTAAAGAACTTCTTCCTTATATCCAATCTAAACTTCCCCTGTTTAAGTTTGAACCCATCACCCCTTGTCCTATTACTACAGTCCCTAATGAAGAGTCCCTCCACAACATCCCTAAAGGCCCCCTTCAGATACTGGAAGGCTGCTATGAGGTCTCCATACAGCCTTCTCTTCTCCAGGCTGAACAGCCCCAACTTTCTCAGCCGATCTTCATATGGGAGGTGCTCCAGTCCCCTGCTCATCCTCGTGGCCTCCTCTGGACTTGTTCCAACAGTTCCATGTTCTTTTTATGTTGAGGACACCAGAACTGCACACAATGCTCCAGGTGAGGTCTCACAAGAGCAGAATAAAGGGGCAGGATCACCTCCTTCAACCTGCTGGTCACGCTCCTTTTGATGCAGCCCAGGATACAGTTGCTTTCTGGGCCACAAGCACACACTGCTGGCTCATGTTCATTTTCTCATTGACCAACACCCCCAAGTCCTTCTCTGCGGGGCTGCTCTGAATAAAAAGCTAACTTCCTAATGACCTAGAATATATTATTTTCCATCAGAAAACAGTATGAGCATTAATTTTAAGTCAAGTTGACAGATCTAAGTCCAAATCATCACAAACTTGAAAAACAAGTATTTAAGGGTTCTATTAAATAGCCTCAAGAGCTCTTATGTACCTTCATCCCTTTTCCACTCAGGAAACACACTAAGGGAAATGCTCATAAAACAAAAGCCCTAAATCTGCACATTCTACTGGGTAAAAAAAAAAAAAAAAAAAAAACAAAAAAAAAAAACCAACCAAACCAAACCAAACAACAACAACAAAAAGCCCATAAGGATAGAATTGACAAAAGTAGCCTGAGGTCTGGCAGCTGATGAGAGCAACCTGCAGGGCAGTCAGTTGGGAGCCTCTCCAGAATCATTCTAGCAGCATACACTATTTTAAAATGGCTATTCACCCAACCTTTAGCCACCTATTGAGTCATACCAGTACCTGGAAATATTTATTGCACAACCAAAAATAAAAAAGATTTTACTTAAATCAAAATAAATCACTGAGAACAGTGGAGCTACCATTCACATGTGATCTCACTATCAGCTGTACAATTTTTCTGATGAAATGGGGCTTACCTTCCTAATGACTTGTCAGGTGCTTCACAGTTCTGGCTTGTCTGAAATTCCACCCTTGGGACTGGTTGCAAAAGCATCTAATAGATTTTAATAAAGTCAATTTTCTCTGTGTTAAAGCTCTTCCTTTCTAAAGGAAGCATGCCTGTTATGTTATTAATTTGCTAACATTGCTATTCACAAATAAACCAATCTCTTTCACACAGCTGTATAAACCACCACAAATAAAACAATACACAGATGGTAGTGCATCAGTCTAAATGTTTAGGTTCAGCTATTACACATGTAACTGTCTCCACTCTACATCCCTAGCTTCAAATGTCCCATAAAAGGGGTTATTTCCAATTTTTAAAATATCGTGTCTTTCTATAGTCTAGAAAGTTGAAGTGCAGTGCCCAGATGCTCCCTGCACAGCTCTTGTTCAGCAGGAGGACAAAGCTCTCATGTCTTTGGTTGTTTACCATCCTAAGAGGCAGGAAGGAGCAGTTTACATTGACATTCTGCAAGATTTGTCTTATTTTTTCTCCTTTAAATACCATGTTACCATCCCTGTAATAGAAAAGCCTACAGAACACCAGGAGAAAACACAGGAAATGTAAGATCCGCTTTCTATCTGGCAGCAGAGCCAAAGCAAAGGAAACCAAACCCTTGTACCTTTTTCTTCATCTGTTAAGGTAACATGTATGGATTTTGCCTTCCCTTCCTTGCTAATTCTCATATCCATGCAAAATCAACCAATCCAGATACAATTCAGCTAAATAAAACAGCAAAACTGTACTCTATGTCTTCTTCCTTTCTGTTCCATATAATGGAGACAGCTCTGTAGCAGAACACTTAACCATGTGTTAACCAGCTCCCATTGCACTCCAGAATGTGAAATATGATTATTCACTCTAGAAATACAGAACTATGCAAACTTGACATGAAACATAAAATTGAACTGCTAGCCCTTCTTTACATAAAACTTCCAAAGGAAACTTAGTGCCTTAGAAATAACATTCTGAAACAAGTGGCAGATAGCACCATTCAGGTTCTCTAAGGAGCTCACCTAACTTCTTTGCAATAGCAGACACACCCTTCTAAATGCATGGACATAAAACTCAAGATTCACTGAAGATGCTAAGTCTTCAGGGCCTTGCTTGCTATCTTCTTGCTGTGTTTTTTCTGGTTTTGTTATTGTTATAATTGTTTTTTGAAAGAAGATAGGATATAAGGAGGGGTGAGGAGCCATTGTAATAAGAGCACTTTAGTTTCAGATTACGAAGCTTGCCCATGATGATATAACAGAACACTCAATTTCCACCAGATTTCTTTATGCTAACACAAAGCCCCCAAGACAAAGAGTCTTAAATATACACAATTAGAGAAAGAATATGATGTTATTATCCTAATTTGAAAATGAAGCTGCCAATAAAAAGGAAAAACAAATGGGATAAATCAAGAATAAGAAAAAATAAATGAGCTCCACATTCATATTTTAAACTGTTCTCCCCTATGGTAAGAGGGGTAAGAATCTGGTTTATGAATCTACATAAAAGAGAACATAGAAGAGACATAAACCAAAAATGCAGCCATGGAGAATATGAATTACAGATCTTTATTCTCCTAGGTACCACCTTATTGGCTTACTATTTTGTATTCTACAGTTTGCCCATTAGCCCACAGAAAATACTGTGTAATAAGAAATTAGCTTTGTATTTGCCATCAGTTACTGCAAGGTAGGAGCAGAGGCCAGTCAGCAAAATCTTGTCGGTTTTTTGAAAGGACAAAGTGAAATTGCAATGGTCTTCTGCCTTCCTGAGATTAGCTGAATCAATTCAGCTATCTAACACCTTTTGCCAAGGTTATCTTAAAAAAAACCAACCAACAACAAAAACCAAACAGAACATTGACTCAAACTGGATTTACAGCTGTTTTTCTGCAAATACAAAGTTACGTTTACATCAGGCTTTACATCAGGAGGTATTAGAATGCCTACTGGTTGCCTGCATCATGTGTATGCATCAATATTGGGCAAGCCTGCCATAAGTAGACAATTAAAAACAAAGCAAACTTGCAGGATCAGCTTACTGTCATCTCAATATTTTACAGAGATCTGGATTTGTGCCTGGTCAGCACTTTGCTAATTAACTGTATTCTGACTATTCTGCAGAAATGATATTTTAGCTTGTAAAGTATCAGATGAATATTATGGTCAGATAAACTGACACTGCAAAATTGTAAAGTCACTGTCAGTCTCCTGCATCTTACCCTTAAAATGTTCAGAAGAGGCCAAAATGTTGATTGTATCAGTATTATGCGCGTTCACAATCTGAAGCACTTGCACATGTACTGAGTTTAGATTTATTTCAGTATTTGAACACCCAATGTAGTCTCAAACCAAGTATATTAAAATACAGGTGTGTATTATCATACCTTTAATGAATACCTAAGGAGTAAGACGTGATCAATCCAACTTTCTCCAGGTTTCTCTTAGAAAGTTGTAGTCTCTTTACTTAAAAAGGAAGATGCCTTATGCTTGTAAATCCATGTAATCCACAAGCTAAAAAGCAGTATTCATTGGAGAAGTGCTTCAAGCAGGCCCTTCAGGACAGTTCTTAAGCCTAGTGGTTTTTACTTCTTCTGGTTTACTGTCTCAGAACACAGGTCAATAGATGAAGTATGGCTATTTTTCTCCTTTATCTAATACAATGTCTCGACATGTTGCAGTCTAATTGTAAAATAACTCTTTGTCACATTAAGCATGTCTATTGGATTTCTCTATTAGGGTTCTGTGCTAAAAGTTTAGAATATAAAAGGTGAAAATTTCCTATGTTTTAAAAACAGCAAAACCAATCTCTGTGACAAGTTTCTGCATTCACAAAGCAAAAACAAAACCTTGACACAACACATGGACTGGAAGCTAAAAGGTAAATTATGCTTGCTGTGTTTTTCTGAACTGAATCTTGCTCGTATGATCAGCAGCATTCAGACTCCCGGCAGGGAAGTCTCCAAAAGAGAGGGAAAGCTAAGCAGGTGGCTTTAAAGAAAGCACAGGGAAATGTACTAAATAAAAATTCCAGTGAGAAGTGAAATTGGTTAAATTGCCTGCAGGACATCTGTGGAGGAAAAGGGTCTACACAGATTTCCCCACTTTGAGGGGTGGAGAGAAAAGCATTTCAGGGCAAGAAAAGCACATGCACATATGGAAGGCTAGTTCATTATAGACAATTTCTTTTTTCCTTACAGATATTCTGTTTAGGAAATGGACAGAATGAGGGTCACACTGAAGAAACAATGAGATAGAGTGGTGTATTTGAAGGAATTGGCCAGCAAAAGATTCAGCTGATAGCCATAAGCACAAGAAGAATAAACTGCATGGGAGCAGTAGGTACAGCCTCACCTGGTCCTGAAAGCAAGAGTTCAGAAATAACCATAGGCCTTATGGGGGATGACACAGCTAAAAGACGCCCCTGTCAGTGTTTACCCGAAAGAAAGGAGTCATTCCTGCTTCATCATTACTAGTCAGCAGGAGCTTCAAAATATTCAAGATTGGGTTAACTATGAATTTTTAACAGGCAGTTCATAATTTGGGGGTGGGAGGAGTAAGCAGAGCTCAAAAATAGCTAAAGAAGAGAAAAGAACAGCTGCCCTTGACAATTATCCAAAAATGAAAAAAAAAAAAAAAAAAGGGAAAAAAAGGAAGTGCATTCTAAACCACAGCTGTTTGTCTGTGAATTAAACTCAGCATTCACTCAAGACACTTAGCTCAGATTGTTAGTCCAGGCTTTAACACATGTCCCCATATGAGAGCATTTTCTCCTATCAAAATAGATGGAACCAAGGAGCCCAAACTGCTTAAGCAGCTTGGAAGGTCTCTACCTTTTGAACAGGCAAACTGTTCCTTCCTCAGCTGCATAACACAGCCCTCCTTTTTCGCAGAACTGTGGTTTGTTTCCCTCAGATATCAAGACAGTTTTTCAAATATCAGAATCTTCTGGGCATCATGTGGCCACTGTAGGAGAGGATCAGGTTCAAGATCATCGTAGGAATGCAAGTTATTGGATACTATAAGAGTAATGCCATTGAACGATAGCCTTTAGTCTTAATCCCTTAGCATACACCACAATACTGAGAATTACTTAAAACCTGTCTATATGCCTCTCTAGTTTGATGAAGAAAGAAAAGCAAGATTAAAAGCTCAAGAATGAATCACACAACTAGGTTTGAATGCAGAGATGCCACCTTTTACAAAAATACACGCTTACTTCTAAAATCAGTTCCTTTGAGGCAAGATAATAGGTTTCTAATGACCTAATTAATGTCACAGTCTATTCTGCGAATGTACAAAGTTAGGTAGTGAACTGCTGTCTCTGCTTTGGTAAGAAATGGCTGTATGCAAACAGGTCTCTAAAACCAATGTACAGTGATTCATGCTGACAGCTTATTCTAATTACAGTTGAATATAATAGCTCAGCTGAGATACCAAATTTCAGTGCAAGTAATGCTTTGCTACATGGTAAACAAAATAAAATGAAAACACATTATAAACCCAAGTTATTTTAGCTGAAACTTTGTTTTTTTCTAAGCACATAATGCTACCATAAGGTATAATGTAGCAAGCAGATGATTTGTCCAGTGGTGATTTTGAAAATTAGAAGACTTGGGTTTGATTTTGGTCTAGCGTGTGGTTTTATTTCAAGTAAAACTAGTAGACATAGGTTTATTTATATTAACACAGACACATAATATTGATACTTTCTTTTACTCACAACTGTACCAGAATTCTCTGAAATAGCCACATGAAAAAATGAGGTATTTATTCTTCTCTCTTTGAATAACTAGATTCTGATCTATCAAAAAAGACTTCAGAAAGTAGGTTAATTCCTGGTTCAATGAAAAGAGAGAACAATGGTAAGGTGTCTTTATTCATAATTGTATATCATACATTCTTCTTACCTATGTTTTAGAAATGTACCTGATCATCCTAGCAATATACAAACGTGAATGTAACATAAGCAAGAAGCATAGTGCGTCAGACAAGAGGGTTTTCTGTAAGCTATAACCTAATGCAGTTTATAAGCTGGTGACATGAAAAAAATACCTAAGTAATTACAGCTTTAGGGCAAACAGCAGAGCTAAATGTTATACAGATTTTATAATTTTGTTTTAAATATGCCTTGACAGCCATCTGCCCAATTAGAAACAGGTTTTGGAAAACACATAACAGTAAGTGTAAAATATTATATGTAACAAAGATGCGATATGCACTAAGAAAGGCAAAAAGTACTACAGTTTGCATGTTAAGAGCTTTTATGGAAGTAAACAAATTTCCTACAGGAACATGTTCATATATAAGGAAAAGCAAAGAGCTGAACTGGGTTTTCAATGTGCATTTTTAGGGGAAGTCAAAAAATTGGTATCTTAACATTTTAAAGTTTTATAGGATTTAAAATTCAAAGACGTTGAAATCAGCATTTAAATCTAGAGACAATCTTAGGTGTTTATTCTGGGAGATTTTTAAGGCAAGAAGTACTTAATTTTATGTAACACTCCTACTCTTGTCTATCTGAACCTGAACAACTGTAAAGTGTATATCTGCGTATATAACAGCCATAAGCCACATAAGCCATATACCAGATGATCATGAAAGCTCAGGAATGCATTTGTTAGTTGATAGCAGGGATATGAAACAAGACTAAAAGGTTTGACTGCCATAACCCAACAGTTTTGTCCAAACAGTATGTGTGAGCATTAGAAAAAACACGGTTTTCTGGATACAATACATGTGGCTAAGCAGAACGATATGTTCTTGCCTTCACCTACCACATTAGTAAATAATGGAGCCCTGGATCCTGAGCAAGACATCTGGCAAACACAGCTATGTGGCACAGGAGTGGCCATTTCAACAAAGGAACTAGGACCTCTGCAAGTGGAATCTCCTAAGTGATGTCAAGAGACAAGCTAGTAAGACCATGCAAACCAATGAAATAAATGTCATAATTATTAAAAAAAAAAAAAAAAAAAACACAACCAAACAAAAAAACACAAAATACAAACAATGCAGAAAATGCAGGTGTTAGGATTAGTATCCAAAGCAACATGGCTTGTTTCTGCAGAAAGAAATATATGAAAAGCACCAAAATAGGTATGTAAGTATTTTAAATCAGAATCCATGTTCATTTAAGGGTGAACTAAAGCACAAAACCTCTACATTAGGAGAGCCTGTCCTTTTTCATACTGGCATCCTGCAAAAAGATTATTCATTATAAGAAGGCAGAAATTTTCTGTAGGATAATATGAATGAGGCATGTAGTTAATCCACTAAGATTCCATTAAGAAGTGAGCCGATGTTCAGCCAACTAATTAGCCATTCATTAAAACAGAACCATAAATGACATTTCCAACATATTGCAAAATTCCTCTGTAGTAATATTTTCCCATCTACATCTAGTCTGACATTTATATTCTATGTCTCTTTCATAATTATTTCAAATAATTCCTCTGACATATTGAGGGGAAGATAGCTTAAAAAGAGATTAGTTACCGCCGACTAGTTGCTCACAAAGAAAGGAGCAGGACAGAGTATTAACATAGAACTGATGTGCTTGTAGATCCTAATAATCACTACTGTGTTTCAACTTTTTCATGGTGAAAATTTTCTGGTGCTTGAAATTATTTGCACACACATTTACTCAGGATTCATCTGCCCAAAAATGACCACACATAAAAGTAATTCACTTGATTCACAGAAAGCAATACAACACCCCAAAGTTGTCATAAAAAAAGACTAAATCCAAAGCTGGAGTTTTCATGTCCTGCTTACTTCTGCTATTGCTGCTGCTACTACAGCTGCTGCTGGAAAGAATAGGAAAGGTAAGTGTAGAGAGGGTTGCACAGATGTTTCCCTAGACAAAAAATAAACACGGTTCCTACCAAAAGAGAACTTGATACTCAGTACAATTGTTATTTGTTGCATGTTCACTCAAGCATTCCCTGCACCTCTTTGACTGGTAATTAACAAAGTCATAAAAGCTGACAGACTGCAAGAAACAGTACAATCTCAGTGCTATTTACACCAATAGAGACCTGCAGTTTGCTATGTTTTCTTATCAGGTTTTAACATAAAGATTATTTCTTTGCTATTACACCACCACGTTATCAATTTCTGCTTAAAAAATATACATATTTCTTCTTCACACACTGTCTCATGGTTCTAGATTCCAAACTGCATGCTCTTTGAGGAGTCTCTTCCACACTTAAATTATTGTTCTTACCCTTCCTGTCCCTACCCCTCTCCCATTATGCATTATCTGATCTAACTTCTTTTAACGATACTGATATTTGAAATCCATCACAGTTTTTGCTGATCCCGGATTTGGTTACTATACTTCAAGAAAACCTGGTCAAAGCCAGTAACACATTACAGTTCATATCTGGTGAGATAATGATACCTGAAAGATAAAATGGATAAAATATCATGAGCTGTGTAAGGTTAAATGAAGCTATATCTCATGCTGCATCTACAAAAAGGACTGACCTAGATAATCAAGAGAATAGCTATCTAGTGTTAAAAACTCATCTCTTCTAAAGATTTCTTTTGTTTTCATTTATGCCATTACCAAAGTCATGCAAGTCAGAAAACAGATTGGTTAAGAAATTATAATAGCAGATACATCCCTAGACAGAAAGTTATTTTCCTGACACCACTTCACCTGTCTTGGTCAATACCCAAGTTGATTTCTAGATGCTTTAGCAGACCTAAGTGTGGTAACAATCTGTGATGTTTCTGCCATATGCTAAATGTAATCTGCAACCCTGAATACATTCATCTTCCTATCCGAGCATAACCAACAATGTATGACCAGAAGACAGCTGCCAGAATACAAAAAGCTCTGGCAAGCATATAGAAAAAAAAACAAAACAAAACAAAAAACCAAAAAACAAAACCAAACCCTCAAAACCACACAACCAAGATCTTCAGATGCAAAAGCTGCCAAAGGTTTCACTTACCAAAAGGTGTATAGATGCAAGAAGGTGGGATTTATCAGTCTGTAGAACCTCACTACCCACACAGCCATACAGTCCACAATACAGCCATTATGAGAGGAACACAGAACCAAACCAGATGGCATCATATATACACTGCACTTTAACCAATACTTAACAGCCACATATAAAATCTTCCAGAACACACATAAACCTCAAGAGTGTATAAATTCAAATGAGTTCACTTATTGTCCATGTTTAAATTTTTATTTTAAGGAAACTTATTTAAGACATACAAGTGTACTTTTACATTGGCTTTAACACATTTATAGATCACCACATGCATGAATAATTAATTGCAGCCTTTTAGGGGAACTTTCCCTGTGAAAATGGGGTTATTAGATGATTATTATATGGGTTGTGATCATCCATTGGTGTATTTTCATTTAGTCTGTGAGAACTCACTGAGTAACGATTTCAGAAGGAAACCTTTCTGGCAGAAACACACTAATAGAAAAATGGTCACAATGTCCTCTTTAAAGCACACAGCATTTAGCTTACATTTTAATTACATAAAACTCTTACAGTAATTTAAAGGAAAAATACTATATTTTCACATTGTGAGCAATTTTTTCACTGATTCTACATTTTAACATAGTCTCACTAAGAATTCAGGAACGGTTCACTTTAGAATAAATTGGTACCGAACAAAATTTGTTTACTATCTATGTATGAAAGTGTATTGTTAAAAACAGAATCTGAGTAACTTGGAACAAATTTTAGAGCAGATGCACTGGCTAGTACTATTAAATAGCAATGCTTTTAAGACTCTTCAAAGCAACACTCCGCAGGCAGTGGGAATGCAGCACTAAGATAAAATACCTATCAGTGGCACTACATTTTGCAGCAAATATAATTGATGAGGAGCTGGGTAGAGTGGATTATAAATTGCAGGGTGCAAGCAGTAATTTCTGCTCTGGTCAATGTAGATAGTAGATATATAGGATAAAGACTGTCACTGACACAATAAAGTGCAGAATCACCCACTAATGAGAAGGATTATATTTTATTGATTGGTAAAAGATAGAACACCTATATTATCCAAAAGTAGGTTTTACTGCCTTAAAAAAAAAAAAAAAAAGAAATCTCTTTCTGGAAACCCTGCATCAAATATTAATCAAGCAATAATTAAACGGGATAAAGAAAATTGTCTTGATATCTCACTTGCAATCATTTTCTTGGTGTATAAAATAAGCCAAGCATGACTGAATCAAACTGTAATACTCTAATACTTGATTCTTAAATTTTAATGTTCTGCTTTATTCCTAACCCCTTGTTGGAAATACTATACTTGACTGACTGAGTACCCTAGCTAATAATACCATTGCTTATCCACAATGCAGCAAGATTGGAAAGCAGGACCAATACAGCAAGATAAGGTTTTAGAGTCTTCTTTTGTATTGCTTGAACTGTTTCACTTTAACTGCCTGCCAATTTTATGACACTTCTGTGACACAGTACCAAGGTCAGAGAGACCTAGATGTAACAGTCCATCTACCTCTCTACTCAGCAAGTGGTTACACACATGCTTAAGTACATTTTAAAGGAAATAACGTTTTAACCAGATGCTTAAATGGTTTCTGGCCTACTGAGGGGTGAACAATTAAAACAGTCAAGAAGCAGTTACAATTTCAGGTTCTACGGCTTAGGTGCTAGGCTTTGCCAAAGACTACTTCATTACCTGTTCATAATCAGAAAAAACATAAAATGGAGAAGTTACAGCCTATTTCAAGTAGGTTGACTGAGACTGGAGAACTCAGCCTGGTAAAGAAGTCATGGTCAGCTTTCCACTTTCCACAGTACCAACTACCTGATTTTAGAACTAGCTGTATGAGCTACTATTTCTGCATGCAAGCCTCTGCAGGATCAGGCCCTTAATGTGACAGATACTTTTAAAATAATTTTCAGAATTATTGGCAATGAAGAAAAATCCATGCCATAAATCTGCCTGATCAGTAATTAGTTCACAATTTGTGCTGGCTTCAGATTCCAATTCAAAACAGTGTAAATTATATCCCGTCAAAGAGATTCTCTGATGTTCATTTACAATCAATGACATTTATTTTAAATATAATGGTATTTAATGGCATTTAATGGGAAACGTGATTTCTTTTCTGCATGCTGGGAACACTATACAGGTTACACTAAAATATAAAAAACAACGTAACCACCTGACATTTAGCACTATTGAATGTATCAGGCCCTCACTTCCTCCTGTGACAATATTACTGTCCTTGCGTTACCAAAAAATCCCACAAAGCCTTTTTTTCTTTTCAAATAAAATGCTTGAGACATTTGGAATGATTAAAATACATGAAAATCAGAGTGACTTTATGTATCTACTCTGTTTTTACTGAAGACTTCATAGGATATTTTTTC